CTCCCCAACGAACCCCTCCCCAGCCCCAACTACGCGTTCCAGCTGTCGTGCATTAGGCAGCGCTACCCAGCGCTCCTGGCAAAGTGACAACGGCGTCGGCGAGCGACGCCGCGAAACAGTTTTGGCAGAGAAGCTAGAATAACGGCCAAGCCGAGCCAAATTTTAGTACTTGCCAAAAAAAAACAAAACCAGAAAAAATCGACCCTATACGGGTGGAAATTGTCCTATAAAAGTATGCCGACAGTAGTAGAGGGCTTCCCTGTTTATGAAGCTGATGCTTAGGTGGAGCTGCGAGCAGACAAGTTCCACTGTAGGATAATATGAACTGAGCAAAAAAAAAAAATGGTTAAACTGGGTGCATACAGATGGAGTCAGCCTTCGCTTCTGTGAGGTTTTGAAGGAAAATAAATAGCAACACGCACCAGAATAGCCGCGCAATCATGCGTTTTGCGCAAACCCACTCACCGAACGACTGCCTATTAATGATTTTCACTGTTTTGCACCTGAGTTTGTGCAGAAATAGATGAAACGCTGAAAAATAGTTAAAAATTTGAAAGCTGAATTTGAAACCTCGAAGGGTGAATATCCTTCAAAAATTTCAATCTCCTAATTTTCTAGCTTTCGAATGGTCTTTGAGACAAAAATTTGACGCGGTCGTACTTGAAACTTCGACATACTTAGGAACTGAATTCGAGTTTGTGAAGCCCTGCTTAGACGGGAAACATTCTCCTGAAATTTTCAGTCTCCTAGCACTTTTGGCTCCCAAGATAATGATTTTTCTCGCCAAAACTTCCACGGGACGTTGAAAATTTGCGTAGGGATGCCACGCTAAAATTCCAGCTTCCTAGACTTCGTGGTTTCCGAGATAATAATTTACCCGCCAAAATTTTCACGGGACCGTAGGCGATACTCGAGAGCGCGGGAACGCTGAATTTGAATTTGCAAGGTCGTCCGTGAGCGGTGGGTCGTCACCCTAAAATTTTAGCTTTGTAGGTTTCACGATCCTCGAGGTAATTTACCCGCAACAATTTTCACTGGCCCATGGGTGATACCCGAGTGCCCGAGAGTGCGGGAACTTTAAATTGCAAGATCGTTCGTGGGCAGGGGGTCATACCCTAAAATTTTAGCCTTCTAGCTTTCGTAATTCCCGTGATAATAATTTTACCCGCCAAAACCTCTGCGAGGCCGTACATTATACCCGCGAGTAGAGGATAGCTGAATTTAAATTTTCTAGGTAGCACATGGGCGAGGGACATGCCCACAAAATTTCAGCTTTCCAGCTTTCGTGGTTCCTGCTCAGAAAGTTCCAGCACTCCAGCTGCTCTGGTTGCGGAGTTACGTCAAATTTCACGTGTTCGTACGTGAGTGGCAACGTGAGACTCCAGTCTGTTGCAGAGTTACGTCAAATTTCACGTGTTCGTACGTGAGTGGCAACGTGAATGCTTTCTTCGCCCGTGGTTACTCAAACACGGCTCCAGGTAGCGCTCAGAAATCTCCAGCACTCCAGCTACTCTGGTTACAGAGTTATGTCAAATTTCACGTGTTCGTACGTGAGTGGCGACGTGAGTGCTTTCTTCGCCTGCAGTTGGCCAAACACGGTACTGGGCAGCGCTCAGAAAGTTTTAGCACTCCAACTGCTCTGGTTGCAGAGTTACGCCAAATTTCACGTGTGTACACGTGAAACGTACGTGGGACGTGAAAGTGATGTGTAAGTCGTTTTTGCGTGCATCTGGTTAAAGGTCACCATCGGTTATGTTCAGAAAATTCAGGGCCTTCGGCTGGTTCAATTCTAAAGTTACAAAAGCGCATGCATGAAATTTTCACGTGTTCGTAAGTGAGATGCAAAAGAGCTGACAAGTAATTTACTTTCGCGGACACAACAGTGGGCGACGGGTAACGCTGCAGAATTGCAGCTCTCTGAAGCTTATTGGTCACCTTAAATCTGAAGTTGGCATGATGCCAGCTTAAATTTTGACGTTTGCGTACGTGAGACCTGGGGGTACGTGAAGGCTGGATTTAAAATCTTTGGATTAGACGCGGCCAAGGAACATCTCCGTGAAGTTCCAGCCTCCTAGCATGGGCCGTTCCAGAAAACGCCTTCCCGCCAAAAAAACTTTCACGTGCACCTACGTGAGAACCACGCGAACCTGAGCGTTCATTTTGAGGATACGAGCCCGCACGTGTGTGTAGATTAAGTCACCAAATTTTCAGCCTTGTATCTTTTGTGGATCTCGAGATGAAAACTTGTTACAGACGCACACACACATGCATACACACACAGACACACACACACACACACACATCTCCTCGACAATATCCGTTTTTGCATTGCATAGCTGCAAAAAACGCATAACAAGGC